GCCGGGCCCAGCCAGGGACCTACACGGTGGGCAGGTAGATGCTGTCCTTGGCTCGGTGCTGGAGGGCTGCCAGCTTGGAGACCTGCTGGCGCTGCTGGTCGCTGGGCTGCTGGGGAGGTAGGACGCTGAAGAGTCCCTTGAGGTAATCGGGCAGGACCTGCAAGAAGGCGCAGAGCAGGGCGGGCTCCGTCAGACTCTCCATCAGGAACGGGTGCTGCTGGGCCCAGGAAAGGCTCGTCCTGGGGTGAATTCATTCGCACCCACAGACACCACGGCGAGGGCCACGGCACAACCCCACCGGACGCAGGCTGAGGCCCCGAGTCAGCAAAGCATGTAACTTCCCATGTGGGGGGGGGGGGGGGGTGCCCGGCAGCGCGGGGAGGGACCAGAGCTTCTGGGCGACCCGGGAGCTAGCAGGAAAGCCTGGTGCTCACAGCAAGGGTCCGCCACCCCCCCAGCAGCAGTGGGGAAGCGGAGCAAGGCGGCCCCTGCTCGCTCAGCTCTCGCAGCGCATCGCTTGGGGGAGGGGAAGGGACCACCCTAGGGACCCCTGTTCCCATGGACTTCAGAGAGAAGTGTGGGCTCGAGAGCCTTTCTGACCAGATGCTTTCCAGACTGTGCGCGCGCACGCAGACCCCCCCCTTCAGGACACAGGCGCCTGGTGCCTGCAGGGCGAGGGATGGAGGGAGGACGGTGCATGGCGGGGGCCCGAGGGCTCCCCTTTTGGCCATTGGCGGGGTGCCTGTGCCCCAGGACACACGCGTAGATGAGTCAGGGAGGATGCCCGAGGAAGGGAGGCACCTGAGAAATGCAGGGGGACCAGGGGCACTCGGGGACTGGCTGGGCAGGGAGACTGGGCCGGGGAAAGAGAGGGGCCAGGGGAAGAAGGTGGAGATGTGGAGGGAAAAGGGCAGCAGCAGACTAGCTTGAGGGAAATGGGCTCAGAAGCTCTGCCCACTAGAGCACACGCCCCGTCACATGCTGGAATGGGACCCCAGATGCCGGAGTTTCACCATTCCTCCACAAGCAGCAAATATCCCTGCAGCCTTCTGGCTCAGTCCCAACCCCTGCTAGTGCTGGTCCACACAGAAGATGATAAGCTGTGTCCCCGCTAATGTTTTCCATCCATGAGTAGAATAAATTTTGTTCTGTGCGCCAAGGCATGTGCCGATGTGCACCACCAGTAGCAACACACACTGCCAGCTATGGGCACTGTGCTAATAAGCCAGGTGGCACCTGACTCTCTCCTGGGTGGCCACCCAACCCCCCAGTTTCCAGGTTGGCGTGCTGACAACCTCCTATTGCAGCACTCCAGTAACTCTGGTAGCTCACGTGGCAGAGGTCTGGGTGACAGGTCTAAGGATTCCAACCCTCCCGACGACCCACATGGATGGCAATGCGAGGCCACGTGATGAGACCGCAGGGGGATTTCTTGCTTGTCAGTAAGCCGAGGAAATCGCACACAGCAAGTGACATTAAAGAACAGTGTTAAGGCTGCCAAGTCAAGCACACACGTTAGCGAATGCCAGAACAAGCACGTAAACAAATAAATACAAAGCACAGGCTAAATAACACAATACTGATAACTTTGTTAAAAAAAAGAAAAGGCCAGAATTAAGGTGCTTTTGCAGCCTTAATGTGGCCCCCTTGTACATGCACTATAGGATACAATCTTTAATCACATGATCACGTCTTATTTTTTCCACAGGCCTCATTCAATGCCCAGGACGGATCTGCTCTGGGGATGAGTCAGGGCTCTGTAATGAAGGCGGATGTTGGCTGTTGGACCCTGATTTATTTGTTGCAGAAGTGAAAAGTGACCGAGGCAGGGGACTGCAGGAAGAGAAAGGAGGCTCCGTTGAAAGCTGTGCGGGAGAACTGGAGTCTATCCCCATCTCTGCCACTGAGTTTCTGTGTGATTCTGGGCATGTCCCTTAACCCAAACTTTTCAGAAGTGGTCACTGATGGTGTGTTCTTCATTTTCTCAGTGGCCACTTGACACCCAGGGGTCTGATGTGCAGACGTGCTGAGAGCTCACAGCTGCAGCTACAGTCAACGGGAGCTGGGCTTTGAACCCACAGAGCTAAGGGGCTGTGAAAAACCAGGACCAAAGCGTCCCAAATGGGGCACCCAAAATTAGTGGAAAATTTTTACCGGTGCCTCAGTTCCTCAGCTGTGAAATGGGGATTACCCCACCCCCACATCCCAGGGATCGTGTGATGATAAAGCCACTAACATCTGCAAAGAGATCAGATGCTACAGCGATGAGCTGCAGAGAAAAGCCCAGGAGGAAACGAATGGTTCTGTCTTCAGAGCTGGGTCTGAAGAGCATGCTGCAGCCAAGGCTTGCAATCACACTCTGGCCAAGGCGAAACCGAAATGCTGAACAGTTGCTTATTACATGAAAACCACCCCCCTGTGCACTGAATGAGGCTGTGTCCAGTGGGGAAAAAAACCAGTCCGTGATCATGTTAGGAAAGCCTGTATCCTAATGCACGGGCACAAGCCGGCTGAGTGACAAGTGCACAGGGGCACCGGCAATTTTGGCATCCTCTGACTTTTCAGAGCTTGGCTTTGCAACCTTCCCAATGTTTTCCTAGCGTCATTTTTTGGTGTAATGTGTGTGTGTGTGAAACAGGAATGACAAGGAGCGGACAGGCCAGGGGTGAGCAAGATCCAGCCCGTGGGCCACATCCGGTCCACCAAGCCATTTGATCCGACCCACAGCGGCCCTACTACATCCCCGCCCCAGGTCAATCGAAATGCGGGGGTGGGGGAGTGTGCGAAGTCATTTGCTGTTCAAAGTGGGTGGCGACTCCCTCTCCTCGTCAAGGGCGCATGGCACCTTGAGCAGTGGTTCCCAAACTTTTTGGCATCACACCCCCTTTCTGATTTTTGAGAAACCCGCGCACACACCCCCCCAATAGAAGCAAAACTTGTTGAGCAAAAAAAAAAAAAAAGCCGTTTAAGAGCAGAGTGGGTATTGCCCTTTTAAGGTGGCTGAGCAGACTGACGAACCAGCCTCTTTCTTGGGGGCGGGGGGACTGGGTTGCCTTGCACCCCCCCTGGAATTTCTTCGTGCCCTCCAGGGGGGCATGCCCCCCAGTTTGGGAACCCATGACCTAGAGGGGGCCACCAGTTGCTTTGAAGAGCGAATGACTTTGTGCATTGCCCCGCCCCAGGTGTTGATTGGCCTAGGGGTGGGGGAGCACACAAAGTCTCCTTCCTCTGCCAGGGACACACAGCAGGCAGCACTTAGGCTGTGTCCAGATTCAGGGGTTTTTTTGAAAAAAGTAGCCTTTTTTCGAAAAAACTTCCCCTGCGTCCAGACTCAAGCTGCATTCTTTCGAAATTAATTTGAAAGAACGCGGCTTTTCTTTCGATGGCAGTAAACCTCAATTTACGAGGAAGAACGCCTTCTTTCGAAAGTTCCTCTTTCGAAAGAAGGCGTTCTTCAATGTAAATAGGGCTTCTTCAAAAGAGAGCATCCAGACTCACTGGATGCTTTCTTTCGAAAAAGCAAGCCACTTTTTCGAAATTTCTCCGTGCAGTCTAGACGCTCTCTTTCGAAAGAGGCTTGCAGTCTAGACATAGCCTTAGAGGGACCCGCAACTAATCACCTGGCAGCAAGACACCAGGGCTAACCCCAGTGCTCTGCCAGGGGACTTTAATAACCGCGAGAGATCGGGAGCTTGAAAGGTGGCACTTCATCCCACTTCCGCTCCAGGCAAGAGCGGAGGAGGAGAACTAGGCCCGCCTTCAACTAACCCAACAAAGCCTCCGCCCCGCTGGGTCGGGGACGCTACCTGGTTATAGTGCATGGTGACATAGAGCTCATTGTCAAATTTCAGCGGCTGGGTCCAGATGACGCGCCGGTACCAGAACATGTAGCTGCTGTCCACTAGCTCCATCTCCGTGGCCACGTCCAGGATGTACTCCCGCCGGCTCAAGGGACGGACGTTCTGACCTGCGGGGAGCAGAGGGGAAGGGGCAATCGTGCAGCTGTGATGTTCAAGGCCGCCTGCCAAGGGAAAGCCAGCTGGGCTGCTCTGGTTTTACTCCTTTACGATGTATCCCAGGCCTGAAAGGGTCCTGCCTCCCCTCGGAGACTCTGGGGATGGCTGGAGAACTCAACGGGGTATGCAGAGCAGAACTAGCGCAGGCAGGAAAATGGATTCTCTGCTGCTCTTTGATGCTTTGGCTTGTCTCCACAGCTACGTAACCCTCGGGAGCAGGGCTCTCTTGTTTCAGAGTCCACCCCCCAGCCCGTTCCACTGGAAGCAGAGAAAGCTGCCAGACTGGTCCCCGTCTGATGGGCTGCGTCTACACAGGCTGGCGTAGCCCCGTCGGCATCTCCCCGCTGCCCTTGACCCTTTGTAAAGAAACCGCTGCACACGCCAACAGGAGATCGCGTGCCCGTGTCTGGACACCACCTCCCCACACGTTGGCTACAGCAGCAGGGCTGGGGCTACGCTGGGGGGGGAGGAGGGGGTTGGTGGTGTGGGCATGTCGTTGGCTTGAGCAACATAGCTCTGCTGGAGGGGTTTTACGTGTAGCCTCAGTTGTCCATCAGAAACAGGGAAGGCAAGACTGGCCATTCCTGATTGTTCTAAGAGAAAAACCAGGCACAATCCCCCTCCCCTCCGCTTTTCTTGTAAAGTCCAGGCCTTCTTTAACCTCGTCCCAAAAGGAGACATGCTGAGTCCGGGTTTCCTTCTGCAGGTCGGCCCTGAAAGCTTCAGGCTTTGGGGCACACAACTGAGTGCACTTTCTAACTCCACAGAGCCCTCACGCAGCTGGATGAATATGGGTGTCATCAGCCCCATGCTATAGATGGGGAAACTGAGGCAAGAGGCACTGAATTGATTTGCCCCAGGTCACAGAACAAGTCGAAGGCAGAACTAGGGTTAGACCCTACTAGCCGGTGTCTCTGGACCATGCCGCCCCCGCCCCTGGCGCAGATCCCCTGCTGGGCATCAGATCGGCCAGGCAGACTCTACATTCAGATCCCTGGGGCTCTGTTTCCGAGCAGAGACGTGTTGTTTTCAGCTGGTGCTAGCCCCGTAAAAGGCAGCAGAGGAGTGAGGGGATGGTGGGGCTAAGGCGGCAGGTGACATTCCTAGGTGATGCAGGATATGACTCAGATGTTATTTCCTGGCTGTTGCGGGCCCAGCCATTAACACTCCCACTGGCCAACGGGGCTGCAGTGGCGAGGAGGAGACAGGGAAGTGAGGGCTCCCCGCAGGATAACACGAGCAATTTCCTGTCTTTCCAGCCATTTAGAAGAAAGCTGAGGCCAGTCATTCACACCTCTCCCCCGGCATCTCCCTGGGGCTGGCATGGGAGTGGGGGAGCTGCCAGGGCAAGGTGAAAATACCATCCCGCAAAGGCAGCACATGCCTAGAGCCGGGCCCAGGGAAGGGCAAGAGGGAAACTTGCTCCGCTACGTGCACTGTCCCCGTCCGGTGCCTAGAGACGCCCAGGCTGCGATCCCGGCACCGCTGAGAAAGGACAGAGCTTGGCAGCTGCAGCTCTCGGGCGCCTTCCTCCTCTCACCACTGCCTGTGCCTTTTCCTTCCTCTCTGCTCCTCTCACCCGGCACGGAGAGGAAGGAAAAGGCACAGGCAGTGGTGGGAAGCTCCACGTTCCCACCCTGGGAACAAAGGAAGGATAAGGGGGGGTCAGAATGTAGGGAGGTTGGGGCCTCCCCTAGTGGCGCAGTGGATAAGGTATCTGCCTGCGAAGCCAGAGCCGTCCGGAGAGGCCTGGCACTGCCCGAGGCTGCCCAGAAAGGGGTGGGCTAGGACCTCGCTCATCGCAGGCCTCACTCAATCAGACCCTGTTTGTGCCCGGGCAGCCCACCGGGCACTGGATCGACTGGCGGGTGCCTCGCATGCCCACTGGCTGTTAGGAATACGCTACAATAGAAACCTGCCCGGCACAGGAGAGGGAGGCCTGTTCCTCAGGGAGGTAATGGGCTTTCCGTGCAGGGTTTCACCCCAGCCAGGAACGTGCATCACACGGGCTAAGCCTCCGGACACACCCACGGCTTAACCGAGATTAAAACATCCCTCGCACGCAATCCAGCCGGCGCGCCCTGGGCCGCTCAATTTCCTAGTCGTAGGATTTTCAAAAATGGTCAATTTCATGCTTTCAAGCTCACAGTTCACGGTGTTGTAAATGGAGGAGTGCTGGCCCCAAAAGGAGGAGTGGAGAAGGGGGGGTCACAAGGTTATTGTAGGGGGCTGCGGCACTGCTACCCTTGCTGCTGGCGGCGCTGCACTCAGAGCAGGGCAGCTGGAGAGCGATGGCTGCTGGCCGGGAGCCCAGCTCTGAAGGCACGGCCAGCAGCAGGAACAGGAGCAGCAGCACAGAAGGAAGGATGGGCTGCTATGGCATTGCCACCTTTATAGCTGCACTGCTGCCTGCAGAGCTGGGCCCTCCGTTAGCAGCCAGCCCTCTCTGAAAGCAGGGCAAAACTAAGGGTGTCAATACCATAACCCCCTAAAAGAACCCTGCGACCCCCTGCAACTCCCCTTGGGGCTAGGGCCCCCCGTTTGAGAAACGCTGGTCTGCCCCATGAAATCGGTAGAGTACAGGGTAAAAACACCCAAAAGTCCAGATTTCATGGCCCAGATAATTTGGTAGGGCCCTCTTCATTAGCGCTTGCTTGCTCCGTGCCTCAGTTTCCTGTCCCACCTGTGCTTGTTAACACTGTAAACTCTGGAGGGAAAGGCCTATCTGTGTGTGCCCAGCTCCCAGGACGATGGCGCCACTGGGATCTGTAGGCAATAACAAGCTGGGTGATGAATCTCTCTCCCGTGTTTTCAGTCATTTCCCTTCTCGGAATGGGGCAGCGTCTTGACCCCAACGATGGCCTGTACCATTGCTCCTCAAAGGAGGGGGAGCACCAGGGCTCTGGAGATGGGCCGCAGAAATGGGATCAGCCAAGAAGCCCCCCCATGCAATGCATTTGGGACCTGAGGAAGCCAGACGCTGGTCAGCTCTAGCTGCCCGTCTGTGGGCAGGCAATAGAGCGGGGTGTCAGAGGCAGGCTGATGGGCAGGACGGGCGGGGTGGCCGGGACCACTTTGGAGGAGACCGCTCCCCGCCCCCGAGACTCACCTCCATTGGTAACGGCGAAGATGACATATTCCTCCAGGGCCTCGGGCCGATGCAGCCCCATTTCATCGCACATCTCCTCGATCACGTCCAGCGCGACCTAGGGAGAGGGGAAACCGCCCGCTGCCCCTCAAAGGCTGGGAAGGAGGGTCCAGCGCGGGCAGCACGGCAAATGGGACTTCCTGAAGCGACCCCCCACACCACCCCTCCTGTCGGCTTGGAGGGCCCGATCACGCCACAGGCTGCACTGCCGCCCAGGGTGGGCTTGGCACGCCGGAGCAGGCCCTGGAGAGGAGCCGCCGGGGAATCTCCGGTGGGTTCAGAACGTGCCCAGAAGTTTGGGGAGCTTTGCCTCTCGGCGCTGGGGCTGGGCCAGCGACCCCAGGGGATCTCTCCCCCCTCAGGCGAGAGCACCGCAGGCTCCGCCTCAGGGACAGAAGAACCGGACCCCGCCTTTGTGGGGCAGGCAGGTGCCAGCCACTTGGGGTTAGCCGAGGCTCCAAGAAAACGCTCCCCTCTGGGCAAACCTTAGAAACCAGCCGCATGCCCTTGCCCCCGGCCTGAGCCTGCGAGCCCCGGCGCTGAGCCCAGCTCTCGGTGAAGCCGATAGCCCTGACGTGCCCTCTCCCCACACGAGCGCTGCTGAGCTGGAGGGACAGCTGCCCAGCACTGCAGCCTCCTGGCTGGATCCCACTGCGCACGGCGCCCTGCCTGAAAGCAAAGCCTCCCCCGGCTCCCCAAGCTTTAGGGTGCTCCCCTTAATCTCGCTGTCAGGGAGAGGCCAAGCCCTGTCGGGTGCTCTCGGCTCCCATGTTCGGAGCTACCGCCAGGAGTCACACGGAGCCTCCCTCACTGCCCAAGCGGGAGCCGGGGGATCTGGGCAGCGGCGTGCTCCCATGCTGACGTACCGAGCACGTTTTGATCTTCAGGTGCCTCTCGATCCCTCCTGGCAGGAGAAACAGCTGGCGCTTCGCACTCCGGCCGGCCTGGGGGGCAAAGCACAGAGAAGCAGGCAGGTTTCCTGACTCTTCAGCCATCCATCGGCTCCCACGCCCAGGCGAGAGTCCCCAACCTTGGCGCAGGGAGGGTCCGTCCAGGGGACCCCGTTCTGCCTAGCCCAATCCCCAAGCGCTTTCAGGCTGGCTCCAGCACTCGGCAGGGCTCCCAACCCTCGGTTGGACACGGGAGGCAGGCAGCTGGTTTCACAAGGCACTCGCCAGCCCCTGGTCTGCAGACATGAGGCATGATCCTGGGGCTCTCTGTTCCCAAGTTCCTCCCCATTCCCAAAGGGCAGGCGCCTAGAGCTTCCCAAAAAACACCTGCCCCTTGGGAAAGCCTTGTCCTGATGGGCAGATGTGCTGAACTCCCCCAGCTCTGGCTGCAGCGAATGGGAGAGGGAAACCAGGCCTAAAACAGCCTCCTCCAGGCGAGTTTCTGTCCATTCCAGCCCTGGGCCTCTGCTCTCCACCCCTCAGCCCTACCGCAGGGGTCACAGAGGCCGTGTTCCCTGGAAGCTGGGCGCTTGTGCGACTGCTCAGAGAGATTCCAGTGCTGCCCAGCTGATTAGCAGAGCACCCACAGCCAGCAGCAGGTGTTTGTGGTGGTGCACATCTGCACGTGTTTTGGTGCACATAATTTTTTTTCCGCACACAGATGGAAAAAAAATTAGAGGGAATATTGCACAGGGATGACATGCCCCATCTGCACCACCCACAGAGCCAGACACCTGCCCAGCCTCGTTCTAGCCCGCCTAGCTGGAGGCAAGGCACAGACAAATAGCGCAGGGGGAGGCCGGACAGTGGAGGCTGCTGGGGGAATTCAGGCTAAGTAGCCCAAAAAGCTGAAGGGACACAGTCCCAGGCTACCCGCTAGGTGAGCTGTTTATGACCCAATCTAGCCCTCCAGGAGCATTCACCCCCACGTGCCCCTCTCCCCCCCCGGCTCACACTTAGGACTCACCACCATGGCTTTGAGCTCCATGCTGCTGGGGAATTCGCGCCGCCCGCCAAACTGGAAGGTCTTGCGGAGGTTCTGCGTGCAGGCCTTTGCGATCCCTTCGAGAGACGGACACCGGAGCCCCGTCAAAGCAGAGCCAGGCCCCAGGCACGGCACGGGGCGCCGGGTCTCCACCTCCCCTAGAGGGAGGAAGCAGGCAGCCAGGGCTTGGCTTTGGCTCGCTAGGAAGACAGGGGCTAACGGGGACATTCAGGGTGCGGAGGGGAAACAAATTCAAAATCGGGAGGTGTGGGGATCTGGAAGGGAAAGTTGCGTTTATTTCAGACGCCCCCAAGTGTTGCCCCTGCCTCCCCCGTTTGCCTGGCTCTAGCACGGCAGAGGCTCTGGTGCGGTGACTACGATTGTCCTGCAGTGACCCCGATCAGGGATCTGGCCCCATTGTGCTAGGAGCTGTACACACACATTTAATGACGAGACAGCCCCTGTTCTGCAGGCTGCACAGCCCGCCAGCCGCGCTGCCTGCACCACGCCGCAGAGGGGGTCGGTAGGGAGGATCAGATCAGGGTGTGAGCGTCCCCAGATTGGCTCAGGTCTCACCCCGGCACCGGTGGGCCCTGCAGAGCTGCAGGAGGCTGATGAAGCGGGTCCAGCTGGGATAATCTGTCACCAGAGACAGTTCTCCCCGACAGCTGCAGCCAGGGAGTTTGAATGAGGAAATTACTGCTAGCTGGGCGAGGGATCAAGGCATCACAGATGGGCAGCACTGCCCTTCGGGAGCGGCTCTGGGCCAGGCGCAGGCAAGCCCTCCTGGTGCTGATCCCAAACAGGGAGCTGCCTGGATCGCTGTGTGCAGATGCTGCTAATTCCCCACCCTCACAGCCCCGCTCCACTGGGTCCCTAGGCCCCATGGGCAGGAGACCAGCCTGAACCTGCTCTTCACTAAGGCTCCTCAGCCACACACAGCAATGGCCGGCGCTCGCTTCTGCATGTGGGGCGTGAAAGGGGGGAGAGCAGGATTCCAAAGTGAGGAGCCAGAACGGAGCCAGGGACAGGAGCAGAACAGGGCCTGGGCCGGATAGGCTGCTAAGCCGGGAGGTCGGGATGTTAAGAAGTGTGTCATTCGTTGATCGTGTGGTCGACAAAAGTTTTGCCAACCGCACGTTTAATCGACAAGGGGTAACACGGCTAGCACTCGGTCCCGGCTCCTGCTGGGTCTAGCCACTACCCCCGCTGCGGCTCTGCACTACAAGCACCAAGAGCCAGTGCCAGGGTTGATGCCAGGTCCCAGCGCGAGCTAGGACTGGGCCAGCTTGTCAGGCAGCCTGCTAAAAAATGTATTTGCGGGTGTGTGTTGTGTGTAATCGATAAGCACCCGCTTATCGGTTAATCGTTTAGCCGACTACGCTATTACACCCCTAACGGGAAGCCAGTGCCATCCGAGGGCTGCAGGAGACACAGGTTAGCGGGCCTCAGTTGTAGAAGACCAGTGTCCATAGCACCATGGCCCAGTGCGCACAGTCAGGGCACGTCAGGCTGTGTCACCTAGCATGCGAACTGTGGCGGGCAGGCGCCTCTCTTTGTCCGACACTGGCCGCCCCGTGCAAAGCACTCTCTCTCCAAGCAGCAGCTGAACTGGAGCAGCACCAGTGCACGGTGCAGGTCACTGTGGAGCAAGCCATCAAATAAGAGAAGCCAGCTTGAGATTTCCCTCTCACCAAGGGGGAAACTGAGGCACAGGGCGGGGACGTGACTTGCCCATGGTCACTAGGGAGTTTGGTGTCAGAGCTGGGTCTAGAATTCCAGAGTCCCTAGCTGTCAGGTTTGAGCTTCGGCCATGCCCCTGGTACGTGGCTGAACCGGGAGGGTCCCTGTCCCTGCGCGCCGTCTCGACAAGTCAGAGGAAAGGGGCCCAGTGAATGCCCCGAGCTTTGTCTTGCTCCTGCTTGACATCTCCGCGCCTGCCCTGCCGCCTGGAGCGTGGGAGCCGCTCCGGACATGAACGTGGTGGTGACGTATCTCCACGCTGCGCGAGTGATGTCCAGCCGCCACGATGCTCGGGCAGGGCGTTTACACCGAGCCGTGGCGCCCACGAGCTGGCGTCAAACACACACGTGGGCACAACCCGTGGGGAAGAGGCCACCTCCCAGGGCGATCTAATGGAGCCAGGAAATCCCTGTGAATGGCTCCCTGCGCTGCACCTCCCCTTCCCTGTGCGGGATGGGCTGATGAAACCCGCCTGTGCCCCTAGGCTCCTGGCCAGCCCCCACCACTGCAGCATCTCAGCACCTCGCTGCTTGAATGGATTCACCCCCACAGCCCATCTCTGTGGCAGGGCCCGGCTGTTGTCCCTGCGGGGGAAACTGAGGCACCAGGTCGCTTAAGCAACCTGCCCAAGGCTACTCCGGGAGCACGCAGGGATGTCCTGGCTCCATTCTCTCCAGCTGCAGCAGAGTCAAGACTTGAGCCCAGGTTTCCTGAGTCCCAGCGCAGTTCCCTACCCACGAGACTGGCCTGCCCCACCCCGCCTCCCTGGGGCACTGTCTGTCACCCACCCTGACCCAGGCCAGGGGTACAGCTGCACAACCTGCATCTCCCCCTGCCAGCTGGCCCGTGGCTCTGCAGAACAGGCTGAGCGCCAGGCCCCCCCGGCCAGCCCCGCGCGGGGTTCCCGGCTCTGCAGAAGGCGCGGCCTACCTTGGAAATGCACCCCGGGGCTCCTGCAGGTCTCCTGGAGGTGCTGCAGCAGGTAGGGCCTGAGGACCTCGGAGCACTTGTAGTAGGCGGTGAGGATATAGAGCAGCCTCCATCCCTTCTGACAGCTGTCCCTGCCCAAGCCGGGGGAGGAGAGCGGGAGAGGTTTCAGAGAGGGAGAGGCCCAGGCTGCCTAGCACAGGGATCCCAGAGTCTTTGGGACAGGCCTGGGCCCTGCGCCGCTCCTGCCCCCTTCCATGCTGGGCTTCCAGGTGGGACCCTGCGTGAGCAGCGCTGGGGTGCCGGTGGGGGGCGAGGAGGAGTAAAAAGGAGAAGCAATAGAGCTGGGGGAGGGGAGGTAACATGGAGGGGGTGGCTGGGCGGAAGGCAGGCTCTCCCAGCGGCCGGCTGGCTAAGGCAGCTGGGCCCAGACTGGCCCATCTAGGGCCAGGCCCAGAGCCAGGATCTGGAACAGCGGGAGGCTCACGTCTTGGGGCTGGTGTTGTCCGTGGTCTGCTTGACGACCTGGCAGTACACTTCATCCCTCATGACCTCGTGCTCGGCGCACACCTGGAGACAGAAAGAGGGTCACTGCCCCGCCGCCGGGCAGCCCCCTGCCCCTCCAGCACCCTCCCCCTGGGGCTGCAGGGCAGGGCCCAGCCCCCTGACCCAGAGCCCCCCCCCCCGGCCAGTCTGCCCCCCAGGGAGGGAGGTACCTTGAGCACGGCGCAGACGACGTCCAGCTCCGTCTGCCCCCTGAGGGGCCAGTCGCCCATGAATTTCATCACGGCTGGGGAGGACAAAGCAACACGCGGTGACAGGCTCCAGCTCCCTACGCCCTGGGCAGGGGGGCGGCTCAGGGCCCACCGTGTGGGTCCTGTGACCCACAGGAGAGCGGGGCTCCCCCACACCATCGGAGCCGCCACGCCGGACTCCCTGCTCGTGGGCTCTCCTTCCCAGCCCCAGGGCCCTCCTGAAGTGCTGGCTCCTGGATTCCTCGCAGGTTGCCCTCCCCCCCAAAAACTGCCCGGTCTGGGCCCATGGGCCGGCCTCAGCCCGCTCCTGAAATTCCAGAGGTGCCCCACCTAGGGGGAGGTCTTTGAGCCTCACTGCCCCACAGGGGCAGAAGGTGGCGATGGGCAGGCTGCGGTGCCCCACGTGGGGGACAGGGTCGGGCAGAGGAGTCCCGCCGGGGCTTGGGGTGGTTCAAAAGTGGCTGAGATTGAGGGGGCCTCGAACCCCAGGCTGTCAGGGGTCCCACGGGGCTGGCCAGGGCGTGAGAAGGCTGCCCCCTGCTGGGCACGTTGGCTTCAGACGCCCGGAGCAGCCGACACCCAGAGATGGAGGGCAGGAGCACACCCTGCCTCCCCTCTGTGGGGCGAACCAGCGCAAGAGCTCCCAGGGGCCTCCCAGCCCCTCCCGGCGCCCCCCACGCACCTTGGAAGGCCTCGGCTGCAGCTCGGCTCAGGCAGCTGTCGGGGAAGTCGATCAGCGCCTCCTGGAGCGGGCACTGGCCGGGGAGCGCAGAGGCCGCGCACGGCAGTTACCAGCGGGGATGCCCTGAGCTCAGTGAGCCAGCAGAGCCACAGCCGCCAGCCCTCACGGCCACTGGCGAGCGAGCGAAAGGCCGAGGGCCGTGAACTGCGCCGCGCCGGGCATCCAGCCCCCGGTCCCTCTCTGTCCAGCGCCCCGCCCAACGCCTGGGCTCCCAGGGTGGGGGGGGACCCAGAGACCCGGTGGGGGAAGATTGGGGGACCCTAGGATGGAGGGAGAAGGGGAAATGGGGAGACAGGAAGAATGAGGGCGCACGGAACCCCTGGCACGGGGGGGGGGGTGGGATGAAGCCAGGTTGGGGGGCGCACGGAACCCCTGGCACGGGGGGGGGGGTGGGATGAAGCCAGGTTGGGGGGCGCACGGAACCCCTGGCACGGGGGGGGGGGTGGGATGAAGCCAGGTTGGGGGGCGCACGGAACCCCTGGCACGGGGGGGGGGGTGGGATGAAGCCAGGTTGGGGGGCGCACGGAACCCCTGGCACGGGGGGGGGGGTGGGATGAAGCCAGGTTGGGGGGCGCACGGAACCCCTGGCACGGGGGGGGGGGTGGGATGAAGCCAGGTTGGGGGGCGCACGGAACCCCTGGCACGGGGGGGGGGGTGGGATGAAGCCAGGTTGGGGGGCGCACGGAACCCCTGGCACGGGGGGGGGGGTGGGATGAAGCCAGGTTGGGGGGCGCACGGAACCCCTGGCACGGGGGGGGGGGTGGGATGAAGCCAGGTTGGGGGGCGCACGGAACCCCTGGCACGGGGGGGGGGGTGGGATGAAGCCAGGTTGGGGGGCGCACGGAACCCCTGGCACGGGGGGGGGGGTGGGATGAAGCCAGGTTGGGGGGCGCACGGAACCCCTGGCACGGGGGGGGGGGTGGGATGAAGCCAGGTTGGGGGGCGCACGGAACCCCTGGCACGGGGGGGGGGGTGGGATGAAGCCAGGTTGGGGGGCGCACGGAACCCCTGGCACGGGGGGGGGGGTGGGATGAAGCCAGGTTGGGGGGCGCACGGAACCCCTGGCACGGGGGGGGGGGTGGGATGAAGCCAGGTTGGGGGGCGCACGGAACCCCTGGCACGGGGGGGGGGGTGGGATGAAGCCAGGTTGGGGGGCGCACGGAACCCCTGGCACGGGGGGGGGGGTGGGATGAAGCCAGGTTGGGGGGCGCACGGAACCCCTGGCACGGGGGGGGGGGTGGGATGAAGCCGGGTTGGGGGCACACAGAGCCCCTCTCCCAGGCCCGATCTCTAACCCCAACCCAGAGCCTGAGGGGTCACGGGCAGAGACAGTCCCAGGCAACCGGGGCTGTTGCACAGCAAGGGCCGGCCATGTGCCGTCAGGGTCCCACGGGCCAGCTCCATGCCAGGCGGGGCCCTGCCAGAAGGGCGCAGAGTGAAGAACCTAACCGGAGAGGTGCAGGGAGTGATGGGACGGCCGTGGGGACTGGTCACCGGGCCCTGGGTACAGACCCGGCCTCCTGCCAGCCCAGCAGCTCTGGCTGAGCCTTTCCCCCAGCCAGGAAAGCGCCTGCGATCTGGTTTGCATCCACTGACCAGTGTCTCTCCTGCTCTGCGCAGGCCCCCCCGGCAAACCCCGCTGAGAAAGGCTGCTGGGACCGTCCGTGGCCTGCCCCAGCTCAGCTGATCCCCAGGGACTGACTTGGGGCCACGGACTCTCAGGGCGAGGACGGAGCCAGAGGGAGCCCACGTGTTCATGGGCCAGCAAACTATTTTCCATTCCCACCAGTGGATCTGAACCACCAACCCTGAGAGACTCCTTAGCACTGCACCAGCCCGGCCGCCCTCTCTGGGGCAGCTCCATGTGGGGGGCAGTGCCAGGGCCAGCAGGCCAGGGGCCCTCTCCAGCAGGGGCTGCTGTGAAGCAAAGGGAGGGGGCGAGAGGCAGGCAGTTAGTCAGGCTGGGGTCTCTCCAGCAGGCCCAGCCTGGCCCGCTAGGAGCACGCGCAGTGAGCGAGGGATCTCCATTACCTTGGTGAATTTCAGAAGCTCTGCTACATCCGGCGAGTCCTTCCCTTTCCGGGATTTCTGCTTGTAGGACTCCCTGGAACAAATCCCCGAAAGAGAATGACAGCTCCCTCTCTGGGCATGAGCTGCTGGGAGGCGGGCGGAGGATCCGCTGGGGTCAGCGCATCTGCCCACCCACGTTCCCTCTAATCTTTTCCATTTGGACGCAGAATAAATTTTGTTAGGCGCACCAAGGCGTGTCTGAACGTGCACCACCAGTCAAGACAAAAGCTGTGGGCGCTTTGCTAATCAGTGGGGCAGCATTTGTATCGCTTCTGAGTGGCTGCCCAGGCGCCCAGCTTACAGGGAACACCGGGTGCCACTTGAAGAAAAGACAGGCTGGGAATCAAGCGTAGAAGAAATGTGCCCGTTGGTCCTTGGTCCTTGCCGTGACCTGCGGGCTCCCATAGGAGGGCCTAGTCAGCAGCCTCCCTGAGCCACCAGCAGCGTGAGGACGGAGCCGAGCAGGCGCAGACAGCAGGCGGTGCTGGAGACAGCCGGGCCTGGGGCGGGACGGAGCGGAAAGCCCACAGGCGCAGCTCGCAATGCCAGGCCCATATGCTGCCTCCATGGACAGCCCCTGGGATGCCAGCCAGGGCTGTTAGTGCCACGGGTTCGGGGCTTTCTGTGACGTGGCTTCTGTCCCATGGGGATAATGCTGAGCCCCACCAAACTCACTGCACACGGGGGTCACTGGAGGCTGGGGGGGGCCAGCACTCACGGCTTCCTCCTCTGCGACTCCCGGAAATACTTCTTGGCAAAGTCCAGCATGGGGAACTGCCCCTCCTGCAGGGCACTGTCCCCGGGAAGCTCACCACCGCACTCCTCCACGTTGTCCGCATAGTCGCTGCCTGCGGGGGACACCTGGGAGAGGGGGACCATGGGCTGCAGGGGGTGTGACGTGCACAGAGGTGCAGGCCCTGCTACAGACAGACCCTCCTGGTGCCCTGTGATCCGTGCCCCCGCCAGCTGCAAGGCCCCCCCACCTAGCTCCCACTCTGACCAATGCCGCCTCCCAGCCCCGCCCTCTGAGCTCCCAGTTCCCAGCACTGCGAGGATGACACGGACAGGCGCTCACCTCCATCTTCCTGTCCCGCT